AGTGCAGCTCGCAGAGGATAGGTGTAACATGGGTGTAACGTGGTCCTTGCAACCACCAGTTCGGCGAACCAGATGCAAAATTAACATCCAGTTCGCCTGAACTGGTCCGAACCAACTGAGTCCCACCCCTGGATTTATCAGATTCTGAGCTGCACCAAAACCTAACCGTATCTTCGACGAATGGCTAAGAGTCGGGAACTATCTGCAGACCTGTCAGCAGTATCTTAAAATGCATTTACTGTTAACCTAAGCGACTCCTGGTCAAACATAAATATGTTAGGAATGGCACGAGGCATAAATGCAAAATCTCCGCTTTACACCAGAAAGCATTATTATCTTGACACATTTATTTGACAGTTATTCTAAATATTGAACTTCTCTCTGGGCTGCGTGGTCAACATAAGCAGTCGCAGCCACCTAGGAATAATCCATCTATCTAACTCTAAATAAAAGGTGTTGTGTTTAGCAACTACGACGGGGGGGAGAAAAGCAACCCATATGTGTTAAAAGGCGAGTCTTAAGGAAGGCTTCCGATGGAGAGGAATACTTAAATGTGTCCGTTACGCCATAAAGTGGCGTAATTTGCTATTTAACTCTTTCTCTTTGTTCAGCAGTTCGGTGCTGTGCTTTCGGTAAGCTTCGAAATGCATTCGGAGCTCGGAGTTAGCTTGTTCTGCCCCCTCAAGACGTCGCCTTAAATCTCTAACTCGGAGGTTACTATCCACCATGGCGGCTTCTGTCTCAAACTGTTGTTCGGCTGCCTGCTTGGCCTTCTCCATATCTTCCGCTTTCTTCTCCAGCTGGAGGATCTCTCGTTGTTTTTCCTGAAGCATCTTCCCTCTCTCCATCGCCAGCTTCAACAGGTCCTCCTTCTCCTTGGCAAGGACGTCTAGTTTGGCTTGCAGGCTGCTCTCAGTTTCTCTTAGCTGCCTCTCTGTTTGCTCCAGTTGGTGGCGGATCGGTTTTTGTTTTTTCTCTAAGACGTCCAGTTGCCTTTTCAAGGAGTCCATCTCCTTGGTGTAGACTCTGGTTTGTTCTCTCTGGCTTTCCAGAAGTTCGTTCTCCCGTTCTTCGGCTGAGCGGCAGCGCTGCTGGTAAGTTTTCTTCAAGGCCTCCATATCCGTGGAAAGTTTCTTGAACTCGGAAGAAAGTTGGGCCAGATCTTTTTCTTTATCTTTCAAAGGTTGGCTGAAAAGGCTTTCGTTTTCCTGACGCAGGCGGCCATTTTCTTCTCGAAGCTGCTTATTCTGCCGTTTGTGCTCGTCTTTGAAGCGGATCATTTCTTCGTGGTTGGCAGCCAAGTCCATAAAGCGCTGCTCCAGGTGCTGGATGCGTCGCGTCTGATTCTCCAACCTCAAGGCATCCCCCCTTCTCGTCTCCTCCAGCTCGCCGTTGATCTGTTCCAGCGTCTTACAGCGCAAGAGTTGGTCGTCGGCTCTCTTCTTGAGGATGCAGATCAACTGGGCCTGTTCGTTGATGCGCGAACGCAGCAGGGCCTTCTCGCCCTTCTCCTCATCAGGAAGGCCGTGGAGCTTCTCCAACTGGTCGAAAGGATCCCCCATGCTCCATTCTAGCTCTCCTTCCATATCTTGGGATATTTTCGGATTCTTCCCGTCCTGAGGCATATCAAGGAAACGGTTTTCTTTTGCTGTCCCAAACACAGGTTCCCCAGTGGCTTGCCTCAGGTGAACATTCAAAAATTCTGAACTGCCCTTCAGAAGTTCAATGGATCCAAATGACAGTTGGTGGCAAAGTTCCAAGAATTCTGTGACATCACAAGCTTAGAAGGCCCCGGCTGTCCAGAACTGACATAGTTTTCTCTCTATGTCTTGATCCTAACTGCCATCTTTTTCCACTGTCACATCCGTTTGTGCTCAACAGAGGAATAATGTCAACTCTTTGATCTACCCAGGAACAAAGAGACAGCATGAAATCCATGCATATCTAGTAGATTTTAAGTTGTGCCAGTTCTTGGCATCAGTCAATTCACAATAAACAGGCAAACATTCATCTTTTCAACAGGTGCCTTTCTCAAATCTTCTTGAAGAGAAATACGAACCGTATTTTTCAAGAGATGCTTTTGCGTCCTTCTTAAATCTGTTTATTTAAAGAGACGAGAGTAAGCAGGAGATAGCCGTGCTTCTTCTTACCGTACTTTTCGGACTATAAGATGCACCGGTGTATAAGATGCACCAAGATTTTGAAGAGGTAAGTAAGGGGAAAAAAGCTTTTGTCTTCCCTCCTGGCCCCCAGGAGCACTCTGCAGGCTTCAGCAGGGCTGAGGGAAGGCAAAGAAACCCCTGCTTTTGTGAAAAACAGGCCATTTTTTCACAAAAACAGGCATTTCCCCCTTCCCCCAGTCCTGCTGAAGCCTACAGAGTGCTTCTGGGGACTGGAGGAAGGGAAAAATGCCTCAATTTTTGCAAAAAAAACAGCCCATTTTTCGTAAAAATGGGATGTGGGCG